CCTCCTCCCTTGGTTCACTGAGCTCTTTGTCGTTCCTCAAATACATGAGCCCACTATAGTCTCAGGGCCTTTGTTCTTGCTATTCCTTCTGTCTAGAATGCTCTTTCCTCAGATATTCACATAGCCTGCTTTCTCACCTGCTTTAGGTGTTCATCAAATGGCATCTTTTCAGTGTGCTGTTTTAAGCTGCTAAATTTTAAGCTAATTTGTTATGCAACAATAAATAATACATGCTATAAACAGTGGACTGTGGTACACTGTAACATGCTGCTCAGATCACCCTTTGGGAATGAAGGGCTTTTAATTACCCCAGTTTTGGAAATGTTGCAGGCAGACTACCTCAACTGAAGAAAGCCACCCTACCTGAGATTGCACCTCCCACTTCCTATGGTAGCTTTCATCTAATGACTAATTGATGTAGGGATATAAAGGCCTAAAACTCTACCCCAAATACAAACAACTAACTCTGAAGTGTTATTCCATCTTAAGAATTCCCCACAGGGTCACCTGAAGTTTTCGCTGAGCCTGCATCACAGCTTGACTTCTCCCTCTGCCCAATACTGACTTCCTCCTGTCTTTTTCCTTCCCCAAATTGTTGGTCCCAAGTGTAGTCTCTAATTAAGCTCCTGCACACTAATCACTATCTCAGAATCTGCTTCCCAGGGAACCTAACCTGTGACAGCTTATCTAGCTTCAGGAAAAAAACAACATGTTGGTATTTTTATTAGGATCACATCAAATAATGTATTAACTTGGAGAGAATTAACATCTTTATGCTACAAATGATATCTTTCCATTTGCTCAAGTCTACTTTTGTATCTTTCAGGAATGTTTTAAAGCTTTCCTCCTTCAGGTTTTATATATTTCTTGATACATTTATTCCTATATATCTTTTTCATTGCTAAAGTAAGTGGGCTTTTCTTTTCCATTATATCTTCTAGCTGGTTATTATTTACATTAATGAAGATACTGATTTTTTGTATATTAAGTTTATAGCCTGCTATCTTAATGCATATTTTATTGTTTATGTTCATTTTGTTATTCTTTTGAGGGTTTTTTTAGGTATACTCTTTTAATTTATAAACAGAAATAGTTTTACTTATTCTTTTTAAATTTTTATGCCTCTACTAGCTTCCCTTATTTGAAGCCACTGGCTAACATATTCAACAGTAACAGAGATAGTGGGTATCCTTGTCTTGGTTCCTAACCTAAGTGAGAATTCCTTTAGTGTTTCCCCATATGTAAGATGCTGGCTATGGTGATGTTAAGATTGAAATCATCATGTTAGGAAAGTATACATCATTCTTATTTACTGAATTTGTTTAAAAATCAGGAGTGTATGTTGAATTTTGTTGAAGATCTAAAAGAATCATCCTTGTATTTCTGAAATAAAATCTACTTGGTCATGATACCTATTTTTTAATTTGCTCAAAATTTAGGCATCATCTTTGATTTCACTTCTACTCTCATACTTTACACTCAATCCATCAGAAAAGCTTGTTGGTGTTACCTTTTGCATACAATCACAATTTGATCATTTTTCACCTCTTCCAACTCTAGCACTCTATTCCAAATCAGTATCATCTTTACCTGAACTGCTGCAATAGCCTTCTAAATGGTTCCTCTATTTCCTGTCTCATACACTTAGTCTATTTTGTACAAAAATCCCTTCAATAGTTCTTATTGTGCTTTTTTCCACACTGCACCCCTACCTCCCTGCTGCTGCTGGGAGAGAGGAAGGTTCGCAAAAAACCGTCCATTATACTGGCGGGACAGCAGCTGAGCCTGTGCACATACCCATACCTGGGCTCTTGGAGGTGCAACAAAGCCTATGAGTTTTGAAGATGTATAAAGGTCACTGTGACAAATGTTTTCCAAAAACTTATAGAAGATGGCAGTGAAAAAACTGGACCACCACTACATGTATTGAGCATATAGGCAGCTGCAGATGAATGTCCTTCAGCTGTGGTTTTTAAAAGTACTTCTTGCCTCAAGTGTGGCATGCAACATTTTGGCAGAAGGAATGAAAACTGTTCAAGAAAACAGATGAACAGAAGCAAGTGATGAAAATGAATGTTTTACTTGATGTTATTAATTAATATCACAATAAATTATGTAGAAAATTTTTAAAAAGTTTCTTATTGTGCTTAGAATAAAATCTAACATCCTTATATGATCAGTAAGGCCCTATTTTTGAAAATCTGGCCCCTAGCTATCTCTCCAACTCTGCCTTCTCATTTACCTTCTTCCAGCTACACCAGCTTTCTGCCTACTCCTCAAACACACTAAGCTTATTCCCTGTGAGAGACCTTTAAGCCTGCTGTTCTACTCCCTTCCATGGAACGATCTTTTCCCAAATCTTGTAATGGCTACTGTTTCACATTAGGTAGGTTTTTGCTCAAATGTCACATTAGCAAAAATACCTTCCTTTCCTATCTTCTTTAAAATAGAGGTACCTACTTCTCCCAACCCCAATCGCCATTACTCTCTATCTCCTACTTTGATTTTTCCCCTATATAATTTACCTTTGTTGTTTACTTGTTTAATGTTTGTTTCCCTAATCAAAATTAAAGCTTTCTTTATCATATTCACTACTGTATCCACAGTCCCTAGACTAGTACCTGGCACAAAGTAATCTATTCAATAAATACTTGGTGAATAAAGAATAGAATGGATAGTACAAAAGAGAAGTTATAAATACCAACTACAGCAGCCAACTGCCCAGCTGCATAAAAGCAGACTACTGCTTCTATCTATATTTCCTTGCTTCCTGAATCATAAGTACGTATGTGTGTGTTTAAAATTAACCTCTTCTCTTAGCTTTCCTTTTTTGCCACTAAATATATATGTATGCTGGGAGTGTTCAAATATCCTTTTTATTTATTTTATAGGTTGACAGAACTAAAAGGAGAGGACACATCACCCAAATATCCTAGACTTGGAGCTAAATGCATTAACTCGAGCATGGCATTATCCTCCTCAAGAGAAAGATGAGAGTCTGTTTTGGGTACCTATGAAATAATTTCACTGTGTTGGTTAGAACATTTTTAAACTGCATGTATTAATATAAGAGGAAGGAATAAGATTCTATGTTGAGTAGCCAAGGGCCACATTGTTATTTTTGTCTATCCAACTTCCATTTTTCCTTCTTCTGTAACAGTCCCTTAATGTCCTTGTGAGAAACAAGGACTCCATTTTTATTCATGCAAATGGGACTGTCAACCAAGGTGTCACTTCCTCTTTTGTCAAGGGATCACATGACCCTACCTAGACCAATAAGACCTTCGCCCCCAGAAATCTGACTCTTGTATAAACTATTGCAAAAATATGAGTAAATGGTTAATTTGATCTCAAATTTTGGTGATGTCTTAAAAAGAATGGCCATTAGTTCCAACTCCAGTTTCTTCTTTTCTGAAGCATGCTTCCTCAGTTTATCTTTCAATTTTGTGAGCTACTTCATATCTTTTCTTAATAAAATTTCTGTTTTGTTAATCAACAAAAGTTCCCTATCTATCTGGGCATGGTGGTGCACACCTGCAGTCCAAATTACTCAGGAGGCTGAGGCAGGAAGATAGATCACTTGAGCCCAGGAGTTTACGGCTGTGGTGAGCTATGACTGCACCACTATACTCCAGCCTGGGCAACAGAGAGAGACCCCATCTCTTAAAAAAATAAAAATAAAATGCCTTACCTAGAGTACCTAAACCATTATTTCTTCACCTGAAAAATGTGGATAATTCTGATGACAAAATTTTGGTGTGAAGAGCAAATGAGATATTCATGCAAATATCTGAGTACTTCTATTGACTAGGCCTTGTAGACACAGAAATAGAAGATATAATCCCAAAAGAGTGGGAGCCATGAAAATATTGAATGGAGATGTCCCAAAAGTCGCCATACATAGGGAAAATGGGAAATTGTAGCTAAATGTACTTTACTTACAAAATATTCATTACAAAAATTTCCTTTGTATGGAGACTTTTGGAACACCCTATAATAGCAGAAAGGGAGCAGGAGAAAGCAGCTACAAATGCATACAGAGTTATAGATTTAGTGGTGGAATTTAAAGAAGCATTTGTCTTACTTGTATATAAAATGCCTAAAATAATTTATACTTAGTAGTTTGTTTAGGTATAGATTACTCTTTGAAATAAATTCATGAAATATACATTCCTAAAGGATTCTGTATAGAGAAGAAATATTCACCTTTTTTTGAATATTCTTGGTGCTGATGGGAAAAGGGGATGGGTTCTCAATTTTTAATTCACTAATTTATCATCTTTCTGTACAACTTAAAACTGCTAAGATACTGGATTTTTTAATCCTCAAAAATATTTAAAGAACTAAGACAGCCTGTACAGAATCAGGATAAAAGAAAGTCATGCTCAATTTTTCGAATAAAGTAAAAATTAAAATCTAAGAAATTATAAACCAATTGAATCCTGAGAGCAAGAACACAAAGCAGCTTTTAAAATGCTGTTAAAATGTAAAATACTGTTATTTTGAGTATTGCTTTATTGTCATATTTAAAGATGACTGCTACCTTTTAAACTATCAGTGGTTATTTTGTAAAGGTCTAGAGTAAAACATATTAGGTTTAATACCAATTCTGCAATATTGCTATAGGTGGTGGTCTGCTTGTAGTCTCAGCCTGATTTGCCAGCCCTCGCAGAGAGCTACTCAACAAGTGTCTGCCTCTGTGGTACTTTGTATTGCTAATAATGCTAGCACACTGTCATCAGCACAACTCAAAGCCGGGTTTGGTGTCTCAAAACCCAAACTGAAAGATGAGGAATTCTAACATAGGAAATTCAGATTCTTAGTGTTTAAAAAGACTGGCAAGTTTTCATTACAATACTTAATACATTCAAATGATAAAAGCTACACATACTGTGCTGAGAGGAGTTGAAATGGGTTTTCAAAAGGGTGGTAAAAGTCACAACTGCAGACAGCTACACAGAAATCTTTCATGTCAACAGAATAAAAAATTATAACCTTACCTTGTAATAACGGAAATAGTCCCGTTCTTGCAATTTTTTTATTTTGGGGAAGATTTTGTAGGTATTGAAGTTATCGATGCTGTCAATATCACACAAGCAATCATCCAGAACTCCAGCAACCTGGAATGTATATATAAAATTTAAAATATGTAAATTTACTGATGTTTCAACCTTAACAAATCTATTAGATGAAAAGATAATTTATTCATTTAAGTTAGCCAAGTATTTGCTAATTAAGCTATATAACATTAAAGCAGTCACTTACTCTTTACTGTGGTCAATGAAATACAAAATAGAAAGATCAGATATACCCATTCTGAAGAACTAAACTTTCTTGTTTAGTGTTCAAAAAGAAAGATGATCAATTCTTTCCTCTGCCTAAACATAAATGAAACCCAAGGAAACAACGGAATATTAAAGCAATCTCTTCCCAAACTAACCCAGAAGTCACAAACTGTAATAATACACGCACTGCTGTAGTAACCCATATCTTTCATATCTTTCCTTTAGGCTGTCATTCATGGAACACTTAAGTGATGGGTGTGGTGCTAAGATTTTTATGTTATCTCAGTTTCTCTTTAAAAGTATTCTATGAATAAGGTATTATCTTCATATTACACATAAGGAAATTAAGGTTTTAACAACCTTAAAATAATTTTTCCGAAGTAGAAATGGAACTTATTCCCAAATCAGACTTTAAAATCCATGCTATTATCCAGTACTCAGGGTATACATTAATCCAAGAAGAGAAACTGATATTTACAAAGTGAATTCAGAGCCCAAAAATTCCATAAAGCATTCCTCGGCTAAATTAAAAATGGGACTCATTGATTGATAAGCATAACTTGGATTTATCTTCCAGGAATTACTCTGAGTGAAAAAAGCCAATCCCAAAGGTTACATACTATATGATTCCATTTATAGAACTTTTTTTTTAAATTTCAGGATATCATGGGGGTACAAACATTGTGGTTACATGTTATGACTTTACCTCACCCAAGCCAGGATCGGAGGCATGCCCTTTCCCCATACAATGCTCACCACGTCCATTAGTTGTGAGTTTTAAATGAAAAAATTTTAGAAATGGAGAACAGATTACTGGTTGCCAGGGATTAGGGACTAGAATAGGGGATGGGAGCTGGAGTGGGAAAGGGTAGTGGGAAGGAGATAGTGTGATTACAAAAGGGCAACAAAAGGGATCCTTGTGGTGATAAAACCGTACAGTATCTTAACTCTGGTGGTGAATATATGAGCCTACACATGTTATAAAATTGTACAGAACTAATATGTACACACATGAATAAAATAAGTAAACTAGGAAAATCTGAATAAGATCAGCAGATTCTATTAATGTCAATATCCTAATTATAATACTGTACTATATGTTTACAAGATTCTACACATTGGGATAAATAAAGGGTACATGAGAAATTTTTCTGTATTATTGCTTGCAACTGCATATGAAGTTACAACTATACCTATTCAAACGTTCAATTAAAAACAAAAACGGAGCTGTGAGCCTGTTAAAGGTTATTCATGTAGTCCATAAAAGAAATACATACAAGCAATGATCAGAAAATGGAAACCAGTCCTTGCCAGCTATTTCTTTCTTGTTCTTTCTCCCTAGAAGTATAAATGTATCCTCAAACTCCCTACCACATAGAGTTTGAGCTATATTATCTTGAGATAAAGAAGAATCATTATCAAGAATTCTAGCTCTGGAATTCTACATGCTTTGCTGTCTCACTTACGAGGATCCTATGACTAACTCCCATTGCTCTACCTACAAGACTTCAAATGCTAGCCCCCTAAATAAGAATAGGCAAGAAAAATACAAACCAAAAAACTTTCTAGGTTTTTTTTTTTTTAAGTAAAAGAGTGATTGCCCTTTCTTATGACTTTTAGTCTATAAATCACCATGTTTTACTACTTTAAAATATTTTAATTGTGGTATGGGATGGGTTAACGTACACAAAATTACCATGTGCATATTTGGAACTTTTAAAGACTACTAAAACAATCTGTGTATCATCAAAATTTTAAAAATATACTCCCAGTATCCTTTAAGTCCCTCCTTAATTACATATATCTCTTCCCTACAGGTAAAAACAAATCTTATTTTTGTTATTAATTTTGTCTTTGTAATGCATCCCTAAACAATATACTTAAGAGTTTTTTAACTTTAATATAAATTGAATCTAATGTGTGAATTCTTCTGTAACGTACTTCTTTTGCTAACACTTTATTTTGGCATCTATGATGAGGAGGCTTGCAGTAGTTCATTCATTTTCCCTGTTGTGTTTCATGATATAAAAATACCACAGTTTATTCATTTTATGGCTGACCCATACAGCAGGCAGAATACCACCCCCAAAGATGTCCAAGCCCTAATTCCTGAAGTTGGTGAATATATTATTTTTACATGGCAAAAGAGACTTGAAAGATGTGGTCAAATTAAGGATCTTGAGATGGGATGATAATACTAGATTATTCAGGTGTGACAAATGTAGTTTACAAAGTTCCTTGTAAGAGGGAGACAGGAGTGTCAGAGTCAGAGAGAGAGACTGGAAGATGGTATACTGTTGGCTTTGAAGATGCAGGAAGAGACCACAAGCCAAAGATCATGGAAAATTCTAGAAGCTTGGAAAAAGGCAACTCCAGAGAAAAGGCAACCTTACTGATACCTTGGTTTTAACTCTGTAAAGCCCATTTTCAGACATCTGACTCCTAGAACTATTAGGTAATAAATCTATGTTGTTTTATGTCACTAAGTTTGTGGTTATAGCAGCAATGGGAAATTAATACAATCCATATTTAGACTGTTTTCAGATTTGGCTAAACAATGCTATACAAACATTTTTGTACATATATCCCGATATACATGTACAAGAGTTTCTCCAGGTTATATGCTTAGGAATGGAATTGCTGTAAGTACATGTTCAGCTTTATTAGGGAATGGTGGGCTAATTTCCAAAACATTTGTACCAATTTACTATTCTACCAACAATGGATGAGAGTTACCGTCAAGCGATATTCTCACCAATATTAAATATTAATCTATGCTTTCATTTTTGCCCTCTAGTAAGTATGAAAGGGTATCTCATTTTTTTAATTTCACTAATAAGGTACAACGTTCATATGTTTTATAAGACATTTGTATTTCTTCTTGTGTGAACTGCCTATATTTTTTGTTCATTTTCGACTGGATTATCTTTTTCATACTGATCTGTAGAAATTAATACTGTTTCTTCCTTATTCTTTTATATTTTTTTACAACTCCAATTAGACATATTAGACCTTCTTATTCTATTCTCCATGTATCTTAAGTTCTCTTTAATATTTATTATCTTATTGCCTCTTTAGATTTAATTCTGAATAATTTATTTGCATTTATCTTCCATTCATTTATGTTTTCACTCATTCAAAGTATTTATTGAGGTCTAACATGAGCTTTGCACTGTTCTAAATGCTGAAAATGTAGAATTAGAAGAAGATAAAGAAATAAAAATCTCTACCCTCAAAGAGTTTATGTTCTCACAGGGAGAAGATAGCGGGGAAAAAAATGGATGAACAAAGTATAGAGTGTTAGATGGTAATAAAGTGATATGGAAGAAAGTTAGGGAGTGGAAACAGATTGCAGAATTAGGGCTGCTACCTTTTAAAATGGGATAGTTATGGAAGCTCTCACGGAAATTCTGGCAAACCTTGAAGGAGAAAAAGGAGCAAGACATGCAGATATCTGGGGAAAAAACATTCCAGGCATTGGGAATATTAAGTGCAAAGACCCTGAGGCAGTAAGTTTGCCCAATGTTTTTAGGAACAAGGAGGACTACGCAATAGGCAAGAAGGAAAGAATTAGAAGACATTGTAAGATTTTAGCTTTTACTAAATCTGGGATGTTTTCTCACACCAACCAATTCTCCAACTCTCAGAGACCCATTGGTATCCAACAATTCAATTCTGACACTATCCAGAATTACTGTAGACTCACAAGGGCTGAGAACACCTATCTTAAGTTCTGGGCCACACATTCTTCTGTCAGCTATTACAAGGGCCTCAGGCAAGAATGTATTTGTCATGTTTGAGAACAACAGGGAGGCTAGTTTGGCTAGCATTTGTATAAGGGAGAAAAGATCATGGGAAAAGCAGATTGGGGAAGGAAGGATAAAAAATTTGGTTCCTGATATATAAAGTTTGAGATACCTAATAATCACCAAAGTAGAAATGTTGGAAAAAAAGTTGGATACATGGATCTAGAGCTGAGAACCCCAGTCTGGAAACTCAGACTGAAAGTCAGCTGTATAAGTGGTATTTAAAGCCAAGAGACTAGACGAGATAACCAAGATAGAGAGAGGAAAGAGAAGATCTGAACCCTGAGGTTCAAATGATTAGCAGTCAAAGGTAGAGGATGAAGAAACAAAAGATACTAAGAAAGACTGGCCCAACAGACAGGAAGAAAACCAGAGAAGTTTAGTTATCCTGGAAGTCAAAAGAAAAATGTATTTCAAGGAGAGTGAGTGATGAGCTGGGAAAAAAATGCTGCCGATAGGTAAAGCTACGGTTTAAGAAATAACCACTGGGAAACCAGCCTGAGCAAGAGACCCCATCTCTACTAAAAATAGAAAAATTATATGGGCATCATGGCACACACCTGTAATCCCAGCTACTTGGGAGGCTGAGGCAGGAGGACTGCTTGCGCCCAAAAGTCTGAAGTTACAGTGAGCTACAATGGCACCACTGTACTCTACCCTGCGCAAAAGATTAAGACTCTGTCTCCAGGAAAAAAAAAAAAGAACCAACCACTTAACCACTGGTCTTAGCAACAAACAGGACATGAGTGACCTGTACAAGAACAGTTTCAGAGGAATGGAGGAATAGTAGGGGCAAAAGTCTGACTGGAATAGGCTGAAGAGAGAATAGAAGAACCAGAATGGGAGGAATAAAATAACTAATTCTTTTGAGTTTTTCTAGAGAAGGAACAGAAAAAATGAGGCAGACATAGAAGGAATGTGTGGGTCAAGAAAGAACCTTACAATAGTAAAATTAACAGCATGTTTTATCATGACAGTGAAAGTCCATTAAGGAAGGAAAACCTGATGATCTGAGAGAGAAAGAGAACATTGCTGGAGCTATGGCCTTGAGTGGGAAAGAAGGAATGGGACCTAATATACAGGTGGAGGAAGTGGCCTTTGATAAGAATACTAACAGGTCACCTATGGTAATCAATTCATAGTATGTCGGTACAGAGACTAGTGAATGGATAGATGTGAATTATGCTATGGAAGTTCTCTTCTGATTTCCCCAATTTTGTTAGTGAGGAATGAATCTGAGAGTAAGGATAGAAGAGTCAGTGATGGTACTTAAGTAGAAAGAAAAATTTTAGGCATGAAATAGTTGTCTAATAATCATTTCTTAAGCTGTATATAATTAGCTATTTAATCTCCACTGAGTTTTTAATTTCATTTCCAGAACTTCTGTTTCATTATTTTTTAATACTTTTGGCCATTCTATAAAATTTCTTGTTCCCTTTTCATACTTTAAGTTTCTCTTTTTTAAACACATTAAACATAATATTAAATTATCTGATAATTTCAGAATCTAAGGTCATTACATGTGTTTCTGTTGTCTGTTTCTAATATCTGATTCATGGTGCCTGTTTCCTTGTGTATTTTGTGATTTTTTTTACTACTAGCTATTTATTATTCTTGGCACTTGATCTTTGAGAATTCTTTAAGGTTTGACTTAAAAATAAATTCCTCCAGAGGGAATGGATATTTGCTTTTACCAGTAACCTAGGGCATACAAATCTGGAACTGCTATAAATTAAATTTTCCCAACACAAGTAGCATGAATTTGGCTTGCAAACGTGTGTAAGGGCTGGCTCATGGTTACAAATTCCCAAGGGAGTTTTTTTTGCCCCCCTCCTTCTCCTAGCAAGTTTCTTTATATTCCCCTTACTCATAGTGGGATTCATATCCCACTTACCCTCACATTGAGGATGTGGCTGTTTGGAGTTCAGCCTTTGCGGTAACATCTCCTATCAGTTTCCCCCTGTTGGGCAGAGACAGGTGTTATTTCTTGCCTACTCCACCCCACGCAGGTGTGTTAAAGCACAAGCTTAAGGTCTTCAGTAATGGACTGGTACAGCTCTATTGGAGTTCCAAGTTTCTGGCTTTTCATTTGTTGGGGAGATCTGTGTATTCCTTGATTTCATGGCACCTTACAAATGCATTTAGAAGAATTTAATACATAGCTAACTAAAATTACTTTTTATAGGAAGATTGTTGTATCACTTGTATACACTATGCCTTTAGTTCCTGGCACTTTACCAAACTAAAAAGCATATTTGCATTTCATTCCTAAGAAAATGGGGCATGAGACATAGAAATGCATATCATTTTATGTGCTCAAAACTATGTTTCTGTTTTTATTGCAAGGAGATATATTCAAAACACCTATCTTAAATGACTTTGATTTCTTGTGAATAGAGATATTTTCCAAAAATTCTAATTCTCCCATTTCTCTTTATTGTTTTTCTACCAATTTATTATATGTAAGAACTGGCTCAGTTCTACTTTTGCTTTTCCTGGTATCCTTCTGCTTTGCTATACTACAGAGAAGCAAATATACATACTAACATACCCTGTAGTACAGAAGGGGGACGTATTAACTCTCCAGTTTAATATCATTCACTTAACAAGTCATTTAAGCTTTCTGAACAGTAACCTCAATGACCCCACTTCTAAGAGATGTATCAAATAAAATGAGATACTGTATATTTACACATCTTGCAGATTAAAGCCCTATCTAAGAAATGATCAAACACTATAGCAGAAAGTACCGCTGAAAACAAAAACCAAATATATTCACTTTTGAAGACTGTTTGGCACAATGCTACTTTGAATATGCACAAATCTTTAACTCTTGAACTAATATATATTCATTTGAATATAACAAAATTAAAAGTACAGATGCCATTATAAAACATTAATTACTCATAATTAGTGGTAGATGAAGAAATCTAAAATTAACCTTCTAGATTGGTGATAAAGTATACAATTAATATATGCTACATAAAAAGAAAAAGGGGAAATAAGAATTCCTATTTTAGAAAAATATCTAAATGGAAATTTCACTCAAAAACAAACACCCAATCAGTAATTAGAAAATAATATTGCCAAAGAATTTAGAAAATTTACTTTTTGCAAGTCTGCCCAGATTTCCACTATTTATTTCAGTGTTGTCCAAGTGGGGTCTATGAGGTAGTCCGAAGGATATCAGCATTACAGTCACTGACTTTCAAGGCTTGTTTAAAATGCTGACTCCTGGGTCACTTTCCAGATGCACTCAGTAAGTACATCTGGAGGTAGGGCCAGGAAAATCTGCATTTTAATATGTTCTCCGGTATCAAACGTTTTCCTTTATTTTTATGAAATCATTCATTTAAAAATGTTCCAACATGGTTACAAATGGAATAGTCAAGCCTTTTGGAATTTAGTGTGGGGCACCATAAAACCAGGAAAAAAGTGTCTCAAATTCAAGAAAACATGTTTACGCGGTTACACTCACAGGTACCTTCAGTTTTTCTCAGATGAGCATTAACTGCTTCAAATGACATTTCCCCTCATTATCAGGCCACCTGAGACACACACGTGTGTGTGTGTGTGTGTGTGTGTGTGTGTTCTGTGTCTGTCTGTCTGTCTTAACAGGGCTGCCACTTTGCAGCAGGTGCAGACACGACACAGCAGCACCTGGCAATCTGTTCAAATTCTCAGATGCTATTTAATCACAAAAGAAGCAAACACCTCTCTTAAGGCAAAAGGCTCTGGTCAGCTAACCCTCCGGTTTCCAGCATGCTGAAAACACTTCTGTAATATCCGCTTCACAAAGACAACCCCCAAGCTCTCCAGCCAGCACCTCACTACTGATGGAGCCAGAGCTTCCATGCACTGGCTAGACTCGGACCCCTCGTTCTGCCACCTGGGCGAAGCCACTTAGCAAGCACAGCACAGCTGGGGAAAATAAAGCAGCCCTGAGCAAGGGAGGATGCCTGAGCGAGGGGGAAAGCCCAGGAATCTCTAGTCCAAAAGTTCAAGCAAGTTAAGCCGTGTGCCCCCGTCAACCCACCCGGCCTCGGCGGGGCTCGGGTCTGTTGAGGAAGCCCCTACCCACCCTCAGCCTTCCTCCCTCGCTAACTCTTGGAGGGAAGGACGCCACCGTCTGCACCAGGCTCTCTCCGCACGACCGCCGAGGCTCCCCCCCCCCCGCCCCCTCCCGCCACACTGCCAGCCGCTTAAAACACCAGAAAGAGGAAAACGAAAACAGCTCCCGGGACCGTCACCATCTTCCTCTCACGACTGCCATTACCCGGGTGTCGCCGTCCCCGCACCCGCGGGCGGTTCGCGGACGTTGCCTGCAGTTGGCCGACCGTCAGGTCTCTGCCCCCCAGATCTTCCGTTCGCCAGAAATCGCCGCAGGTCCCGCCCGGCCCGGCCCGGCCCTCCGCGCGCCGCCGCCGCTGCCCGTTCGGCCGGGGGCTCCCGGCCCGCCATCGCTCGGGCTTACCTGGGCCCCGACCGCGCTCAGCAGGAAGCTCAGCGCGACCAGCAGCGGCGCCGCGGCCGCCGCCCCCTGCGCGCCGGCCCGGCGGAGCCCCTGCCTCATGCTGACCTCTCCCCCGGCCGCGGCCAGCCGGGCCCCTCGGGGCCGGGGAACGGCGGGCGGCCCAGGCGACGACCCCAGGGGACGGTTCCCGCCCGCCGAGCGACTCCAGGGTCAGGGTCTGCGCGCCGGTCGGTCGGGAGGCAGAGTGACGCCCTCCCCGACGCCCGGCGGCTGCCAGTGAAGCCGGAAAGCCGAGCGCCCCCGCTTCATCCCCCGGCGGCTCCGCCCCGCCCTCCTCGGCTCCGCGGCCACGCCCCGCGCGCGGGGCCTTGTGGGAGTTGTGGTCCCGGGCGGCCGCCTGGGCGCCGCGGCCGGAAGGCGGAGCCTGCGGCCGAGCCATCTCGGGAACTACAACTGAGGAGGCCGCCCCGCCTCCCTCGGGCCCTCGGCGGCCAATGAGGCGGGACCACGCGGGCCTTCAAAACACCCGGAGGTGCGGGCGGGGAAGCCGGGAAGCCAGGCGCCCTCCTCCCCGACCTGGCCCGCTGTCGCCGCGTCCCGGGCGGTTGCTCAGGGAAACGCCTCTCTGCTAAGGCCGCTGCGGTCCCCGAGCGCGCCTGTGGCCCCCGGACACCTCAGCCTCCAGGCTCCAGGATTTAGCCCAGTACGAACGCCAAAGTTGGGAACCGGTGACCGGGCGGGGCGACATCGACTTTCGACCTGAAGCCCCTGCTTTGTCTCATTCATTTACCTGTAGCTTCACGTCACCTGCGACATACAGAGGTGGCTTCAGCTCCTCTTGTATACGCCCCAGGCGTGGATGTCATCTCCTGCCCGTTCCTGCCCCCACTGCTATGTTGACACGTGCAGCTATAATGCACTTTAAAGCATGAAGAGAAACCCAAAGTTTATGATGAAATATGGGAATGAGGATAAACGCACAGAAAAGCTTGGAGTGACACAAATTGGGCTCCGATTTTAGCTCTAAAACAGTCTAGTTATGTGGCCCTTAATTCCCACCTCAAATACTGTTTTAGGATTATGTATGATTATATACAGAAAGGGTTCTAGGATCATGCCTCGCATCTAGGAAGTGCTCAATAAATAGTAACTGCTACTAGTTTTATTAATGCTCTTGATTTCTACAAAAATAGCAATAGATCATCTTACATTTATGTAGTATATATTAGTTTCTCATCGCTGCTGTAACAAATTACCACAAAGTTAGTGGCTTGTAACAAAACAAATTTATTTTTCTACAGTTCTGGCGGCCAGAAGTGCAAAACGAATGCTTAAGGCTGCATTCCTTCTGGAGGCTCTTGGGGACAATATGGTTCCTTGCCTTTGCCAGCTTCTAGAGGCCACCTGCATTCCTTGGTTCATGACCTTGCATCACATGGTCACATCTTCACTCCCTGTGCTTCCCTTGTCACATGCCTTCTTTTTAAGACCCTAACTCTACTGCCTCCCTCAAATAAGGACCCTTGTGATTACATTGGGCCCACCCACATAATTCAGGATAAACTACCATCTCAAAATCCTTAATTTAATCACACTTGCAAAGTCCCTTTTGCCATATAGGTTCCAGAGATTAGGATGTGGACATTTATGGAGGGCCTCTAATCAACCTGCCACACAGTGCTTTATACCTTTCAGAGCACTTTCACATGCGAAGGCTGTCCAGAAAGTATCCAGCCATTGTTAATATAATGAGAATGGCTTGCATGACATCGTTGTAATCTGGCACCCAAAGAGAGTGGACTGGGATGCGCATGCGTGAACAATGACGCCCGCCCCCACTGTACTAGTCACTGGGGCACTAGAAGCCATTGAGTGAGCATGTGTACTGTGTCGCCCTGGCATTCAAAATGACTGAGCGAGTAGAGCAACCAATCTGCATCAAATTTTGCGCTAAGCTTGAACAGTCCTCTGCGGAACTATTCGGATGATTCAGAAGGCTTTCGGGGACAATGCAACAGGTGCAGTGCAAATAAAAGTGTGGCACAAACGCTTCAAAGATGGTCAAGAATCTATTGAAAGTGATCCACGTTCTGGAAGGCCTGCAACAAGCAGAACACCTGAGAATGTTGAACATGTATGGGTTAGGTTAAAGGATGCTGGGACAACTGTGTGAGGTCCTAAGGTGCCTAATTTGAAGGGGACTGCAGCTTCATTGTCCTGCGTACAATGTTTCTTTTATCTTGTATCTGCTTCCATAAATGTCTCCATTTTTCATATTACATGGCTGGATTCTTTCCAGACAACCCTGGAATTGTTCCTCAGGACTTGTTACATAGTTTTCAGGACCTACTGCAAAATGAAAATGCAAGGCCCTGGTTCAAGAATTTCAAGACAGTAATAGCAGAGCATCAGGTCAAATGCAGGGCCCTGCATGACTACACGGGTCACATGCCCATGAAGCCAACCCTATCCGTCCTTTTTTCTCATCAGCAACTCTTTCCCTCCTGCCTCCAAACGTGTCCAGATCTTCCCTAGCTTAAAAACAAAAAAAAAAAATTGTTGCTTGATTTTTCCAGCTACTTTTCCATGTCTCCTTTTCTTTTTTCTGCCACACCTGTACTTCCTATTCAGCCATTCCCTTCTTCCCCTGGTACGAATGTACTTTTGATAAGAGAAAGCTTTCCTCTTATCAAATCCAGTGAGCTTTCCTCAAGATTCCTTATCTGTGCTGCATTTGATGTTAACACTTCCCGGGATTCTGTTGTATGAAACGTTAAAAATGTGGGTTATACGTTTTCTTATTATAAAATTTCAGGTCCTTCAATGGCTCTCTAGTGCCTTTGATATGTAGGGCAGAATCCATGGCCTGCAGTTCACAGCCCTGAAAGATTTGCCATTGAAGGACAAAGGAGGAACTCAGACAGGGAATGCTAATGCCGGAGTCAGATAGCTTTTGTCTTCTTAGTTACCTAATCCAGAAACTAATGGGAACAAGCTCTCCATATTTGCTTGTTTTCAGCTCAGAAGCCTAGCACATGACTTCTAGGGACAAACAGGTTTTTCTTGGTGAGTGAAATTGGAAATAGCAGGTGTTTGTCATGATGTCGCTATCTGTTTTAGCATTTACTGATATGAGTGGTTTGAGGGGATTGTTCCTCTTTGGTCTCTTACCCTGGACTGTTTATCTCTGCTTTCTCTAAAATCAACTGCACTGAAACCAGCATTGTGAGAGGCAATGATGATGTGGTATCACCCGTGCTTCCTGCAGATGATGCTCAGTTTGAGCTTTCCCATCCCTAACACTGTGGTTGGAAGTTGAACCAGGAGGAAAAGTGCATACACTAAACCCCTTTTGTGATTGCAAGCCACAAAAACCAGATATAGCTACATGTTAAAACAAAAAATAGCAAATGAAAAGCATGGGATCGCTTATGTTACTGAGGAAGATTTCATCAATTATGCCTCTGAAAAAGAAAGTCCATCAGGACAGAATTCAAGGAGGGACTCTGGGGAACAGGAACTAATAGACAGTCTCTTCCAGGGTATCGCCTTTGTACTGAATTCGAATCACTTTTAGTCATTTGTCCGTCCTATCAAAATTCACATTCCTTCCAGAGTTTAGAGGAAGCAAGCACCTTGATTCACTATCCCACAAGAGTACAAAGAATGTGCAAGAGGTAGTTGCACAAATGAATAGCGAGTGCTGCTACTTCCTGTTTTCAGTAGAGAGGAAAGGGATGCTGGTCAAACAAAAGCAACCGATGTTTCCTTCAGGAATTTATGTTTTTATCGAGTACTCCATTCAAATTCATTTTCTTTACCCCAGCTTGTATTGACACATTCATTAAAGTATCACAGATCCTGGCTGCAATACACCAAAAAAAGCACACATCAGGACACTGGCTGACCAGAAATAGCAACAATAAGTCTATTGTTGCTTATGTCATTTGTGATTTACTAACACCACCCAGGTTACATAAATCTAATTACCTGAACCTAAGGGTACAGAAACACTGACCACATTTTTTGAATGGAAGAATTTATGAGACCCCAGATCTATTAATCTGAGAAGGATCAGGACCAGCTATGGCAATCAGTATAACTGCCTTATCATAAGCAATGATCATTTAGAATTGATTTGGTTGAGATAGATTGTAGGACGGGGTGGAACGACCCTTAGCACAGATGATAATTCCACTAGGGCCACCATGACTCTATTTCCTGTGATTCTAAATGGAGCCAAACAGAATCAACCATGGATGACCTCTGTGAGCTTCAGCTTTCCACATGGATAGTGTCAAATGCGCTTAAGTCAGAGTTAGTCTTACTCATATTAGAAATGTAGTCATGTTGATACCATGCACAAAAATAAATTTACATTTATTACAGATTCACTCTGTGTTGCTCTCAAATACAAAACATTCTCCCATCCCTCTTCCCCATTTGTTTCCCCTCCCTTCCTTCCCACTCCACATCCCTGTCTTCTCTGGGAGGATGGCCTAATCATCTCATCCCTGTAGTCCACAGTGATTCATCAGAGTCCCACGGCAGTTCCTACCCGCAACATTCATTCGGCACTAACAGTGTGCCACTCTGTATTAGAGTTAGCTTGTCCTGTGTATTACAGCCCTCTAGAGTGCAAAGTTTTAGAAGACTCTCTTTGTACTATATTCTCTTTAGAGACTACTGTCCCTATCAACAGTAGTCAATAAATATTTCTTGATTGACTGGTTAATATTGTTTATGATCTCAGTTTCTCTTGGAAGATAATCTATCTCAGAACCAACCCTGAATGTGGGGCCACTGAGCGTTTCCTGTGGAGGGCTAGGAAGTGGCTTTGTTGGAAAGGAATATTCCTGGAGAATGCAGTAAAATGCAACGGGCAGTCTTCCATTAAGGCAAGGGATTGCAGTTCCTTAAACAGAGGTGTACTTGGGGACTATGAAAAAGACTGAGAGAGTAACAGACTCCTCAGACTGGTGGGTGCCAATTGCTAGAAACCATTACTTCAAGAGTTTGCCTCAAGCACTACTTCAAATGTCTATAGCTAATGGTTTTTGAAACAAAGGCTTGAGAATTGTCTTGAATAGATTAAGAAACTTCATGAATTAACAAAATTGCACTGAGCTTTTACATCTCCAAGATATCATCAAGTATATTGTGTGTCTTTGATGACTTTATGGCTTAGTTAACTTGTGACTTCTAATAAAGGAGGAAGTCATTGATGAATGGCTCTAAATAAAAGTCAAGGTAATGGGGTGGAAATTTAATAACACCAGTAATTTTCTCTCCTAATAGCAAGAGGAATTGTGATTAATGAACCTGCTGAGTAATGGCAATCTGTTGTGTTT